GGTCATTCCTAATGGTTTCTGCCCTTGCATTGGTTCTTTGGAGGTATACTGTTCCTGCACATGAAGGTTCCATTGGGTGGCACTGCTGATAGAACTGTCCTTTGTCCATTTCCCCCAGTGCGGGGAAGGAATAGGTATTTAATGGGGTAATTTCCTTGATGGTTTGGTGGACAGGCCATTGCTCACATATGCCTGACACACCTAAAAGTTCAATCCCTGGCATCTCCTCTCTGACCAAAAAAAAAAAAAAAGATTCCAAGGAACAGGCATTTTTTAAAAGACCTTTCTCTGCCTGCGGAGGCCTGTTGATAGAGTAGACACTCTTTTTAAATTTGGGTTTTTTCGTTGTTGTTTGGTGTCGTGGTTAAGTGCGCGGAGTCTAATCTGGGAGAACCGGGCTTGATTCCCCACTCCTCCACTTGCAGCTGCTGAATGACCTTGGGCAAGCTGTAGTTCTGGCACAGTTGTCCTTGAAAAAGAGCCAGTTTGGTGTAGTGGTTAAGAGCGGAGTCTAATCTGGGAGAACTGGGCTTGATTCCCCACTCCTCCACTTGCACCTGGCTGGATGACCTTGGGCAGGCCGTGGTTCTGGCACAGCTGTTCTTGAAAGCAGAGCTATCCTTGAAAAAGAACAGTTTCTGACAGAGCTCTCTCAGCCCCACCCGCCTCCCAGGGTGTCTGCTGTGGGGAGGGGAAGGGAAAGGAGTTTGTAAGCCGCTCTGAGACTCCTTTGGGTAGTGAAGGGCGGGGTATAAGTCCAATCTCCTCCTCTTCCTCCTTCATTTGTGTGTGCCTAGAGGTCATGGTTGACTTCTAGCAGCCCCTAGTGGGGCTTGGATGTTTCAGAGAGATGGCTTGCGATTGCCTGCCTCTGCAACCCAGCCCTGGTATTCCTTGGGGGGGGGTGCCTCCCATCCAAGTACTTTCCAGGGTCGGCCCTGCTTCGCTTCTTAGATTTGACAAGATGAGGCTTGCCCGAACTATCCAGGTCAGGGTAGAATAGATACTCCTGAGCTGGATGGGATCACTTGTTTAACTTGAACGCCTGGGGGGGTGGGGGGGTTGTTTTTGTTTTTAAAAGGATCTTGGGAGGTGATCACAGGGAAAGATCTTTCTCCCTGATATTAGGGAGAACTGCTTCCAGTTGCAACAACTGTCCTTCCAATGCGTTCAGGACAAGGCAGTCCCACTGCAAAGACATGAGAAGCTGGAAGGGGTCGGAGGCCCAGTTGTAAGAACCTTGGTCTCTGCCAGCCAGTAGCATCACACGAATTGCTGTTTCAGAGGGTTCATATTGGTCCACGGCAATGCTCCCTCTAAGCTGTGGAGTCCTGTGAGCAAAAATTCTACTCTGTGGGCTACTGGCATTGAAGTTGTGAGCCAGCGATTTGGCTACTGCATCAATTGGTTTGCTCTGGAGCCCTCCTGCCTGAGCGAAGACAACAATGTGTGAGCCGGAGGCTAAAAAACTGTGAGCTAGCTCACACTAACTCAGCTTAGAGGGTTCTGGTTGATCACAAGCTAAACATGAGCCTGCAGTGTGATGTGGCTGTGAAGAAAGCTAATGCAATCTTAGGATGCATTCACAGAAGCATTGTGTCCAGATCATGGGAGGTGGTCGTTCCACTCTATTCTGCTATGGTCAGAGTCCTGTGTCCAGTTTTGGGCACCCCATTTTAGGAAGGATGTTGACAAGCTTGCCGTGTCCAGAAGAGGGCAACCAGGATGGTGAGAAGGTTGAAATCCAAGTCTTACGAGGAAAGGCTGAAAGAGTTGGGTATGTTTAGCCTGGGAAAGAGAAGGCTTAGAGGGGACATGATTTCAAGTATTTGAAGGGCTGCCATGTAGAAGATGGAGCAGATCTATCCTCTCTTGCTCCGGATTGCAAGACTAGATCTAATGGGTGGGAATTACAAGGCAGTCGTTACTGGCTTAATATCAGGAGAAACTTCCTGACTGTAAGAGTGGTTGAGCAGTGGAACGGACTGCCTCGGGAGGTGGTGGATGCTCCTTTGCTGAATGTTTTCAAGCGGAGGCATATCTTTCAGGTATGTTGTAGGTATGTAGGGCTATCTTTCAGCTGTGCTCCTGCAGAGTGCAGGGGGTTGGACTAGATGACCTGCAAGGTCCCTTCCAACTCTAACATTCTATGATTCTGTGATTAGAGGGAATACTGGTCCACAGTATTAGAGGGAATACTGAGTCCAGTAGCACTTTAAGAGACCAACGAGATTTTTAGGGTATGCCCTGACCTGGGTATAGCTCAGGCAACCCTGATCTTGTCACATCTTGGAAGCTAAGCAGAGCCAGCCCTGGCAAGTACTTGGAAGGGTGAGCTCCAAAGAATACCAGGGTCAGGAGACAGAGGCAGGTTATCAAAGTCACTTCTTTGAATATCCTCTGTGCCCCAGTAGGAGTCTCCAGAGGTCTCCGTGACTTCCAGGCATGGACACACACACAGATGCACCCCCCCAAAAAAAAGAATTTTTGGGGAGGGTCTGAGCTTCAGGAATCAGCGCTGTCTGCATATCTGACGAAGGGAGCTTTGAGTCTTGAAAGCTCATCCCCTGACAATCTTGTGGGTCCCTAAAGTGCCACTGGACTCGAATCTATTTGAATTATTGTTAGTAATAAGAGCGCTCCCTGTATCAAGGTCCAAGTGCTGGCAAAGTCCGGACGGCAGCGGTCACCATGGTGACCAGTGTTCCCTCTAAGCTGTGGAGTCTTGTGAGCAAAGAATGTTGCTTTGTAGGCTCCTGGCATTGAAGTCGTCAGCGAGCGATTTGGCTCCTGCGTAAATCAGTTTGCTCTGGAGCCATCCTTCCCGAGCGAAGACAAAAATGTGTGAGCCGGAGGCTAAAAAAAACTGAGCTAGCTCACACTAACTCAGCTTAGAGGGAAAGTTGGTGGTGGCGTGTACCTGGAGCAGAGGTAGACCTTCTGGAATGCCAAGGGCATGGGGGACACACTTTGGGTCTACGTAGCAAGCAGCAGCACAAGATTGGCTCCCTGGGGTCACCAGATTCTTTTCCTGTGGTGTCCTATCTTGGCAAAACCCACATCTGAATGTACAGGAATCCTGTCTCAAGCTGCATGGTGGCTAACAGTTCATTGCTGAATCAGTGGAAGGTTCCGGCTGTAAAATGGGGCCAAATGACATGAGACTTTTTTTAACGAGTTGTCCTCCCTTTTGCCACAGAGCAGCTGTGGGGAACATCATTTTTAAAGCCTTTGGGGGCCCAATTCTTCCAAGGACAATGACATGGCGTCGTGACCCCAGAGGGTCGCCACCTTCAGCTGCCACCACTCTGGACTTTGGGTTCCTTGAGAAGGCCCAGAGTACCCTCCCAAGCCCATCCAAAAAGCCCCCCTTTAAGCCGAGAACATAGGCGTGATGACCAGGCAGAGAACACTTAAACAAATGGTTGATTGGACTTCCGGCGGCATGGCGCTGTGCCGCGGGCGTGTCTCTCGGGAGCTCCCGAGAACGCCCGGCTCGTGTGCGCTTATATACGAGGGAGGTATGGTGAAGGAGTTATGTAGAATATGCTTATATGTTTGTTTGTTTTTCTTGTCTTGGTTTATGTCTGTCTTGTGTTTAAAAACCCAATAAAAATTACTTTAAAAAAAATGGTTGATTAACACAGTACTGGGGCAAGGAAAACAAGACAAGGTGCTTTGAAATATATAACAGTGTTTAAAGGCAAAATAAATGAATCTAATGTGACTACCTAGTTCACTTCACTAGTTACTACTTCAAGGCCCACAGCCCTCTTATACCAGGCCTCCTGCCTGCACTCACTCTGTCCCAAGTGAGGGATCTTTCTCTCAGACCAGTCCCCTCAGTTTTACTCTGTGTGAGGCAAGACCGCAGAAGAGAAAAGAACACAGTTTCACAGTTCAGAAAGCTTAAGTTCCATTCCCTCACACAATCTCTGTACACTGATTGGCTACAACCATTGCTAAGCATTGTGGGGGTTGTAGGCTGTCTGCTCTCCACTCCCACACAGGCCTCTAGACCTTTCTCCCAGGCCTACACAGATCATGACACATGGGAAGAGGAGGAACTCCTGCCTTTGTTCCCAGGCCATTTTCTCAAGTCAAAAGGACCCTGGTGGGGAACTTTGAAACTGTATGTGCAGCAAACAACTCTGTACTAGGGCTGTTTCAGCTTGGGAAAAGGTTGAAGGGGGAAAGGCAGGAGTCCCTCCTCTCCCTTTACCACAGTCCTGAGCCACAGGTTTTAAAAATGACACTCTCCACAACTCTTGTGGAGCTGTGAGGAAAGCGAGTCAGGTTTGAGGAACCAAGACCTGACTTGTTAAGAAAAATTTGTGTAGTTTGGCCATTAAAAAAAACATTCAAGGCCCTATATGGTCAGGGGCCTGCCTACCTGAGGGACCGCCTTTCCCCATGTGTCCCCCAGAGAGCACTGAAGTCAGGGTCACAAAACCGCCTGACTCTCCCTGATTCGAAAGATGCCAGATTGGCCGCTACCAGATCTAGGGCCTTTTCAGTGGCGGCTCTACACTGGTGAAATGAGCTCCCAGAAGACATCAGGGCCCTGCAAGACCTTCCACAGATCCGCAGGGCCTGTAAAACGGAGCTCTTCCACCAAGCCTTCGATTAGAAGCCACCCCTGAGGAACGAGCTTAAAAACTGAACTGTTACGGCCCCCATGTTAGTGGCACCAACTATAGAAACTGGTTTGCTACACCAGACCACCATACAGCAATCGCCATCTGCACTCAACTGCACTTTATATATACATTGTTTGTTATGGAAATGTTATAGTATTGCATTTATGCATCTGTGTTTTATTGTTTTTAACATGTTGTACGCCACCTTGGGCTTGCCTGTGTAGGAAAGGTGGGTTATACATTGACAATAATAAATGAATAAATTATTGAAGTCTAATCCTGCAAAAAATGATTTGCATAAATCTTTGTCTTTAACAGTGGTGATTTTCATCTGTTTTGTGTTGTAACTCTTGCAGGCCATTTACAGCTGCCTTCATGGAGTGCACATTGAGGAAAAAAAGAAATCTCCTGACTTCACTTTAACGAGTTCGCAGACAAATATGTTGAAACTCCTGCGGACAGCCAAGAATATGACTAATCTGGCTGACATGAATCCCTCCAGGCTCAATTCTCCCAAAAGAACGCCTGATTTCATTCACAGGGGATCTTTGATTATGGACATGATGATGGATAAGGGAAATCTTGTCTTCTCGGAAAACAGGCCCTTCCCAGGGAAGGAGAACGTTTTCAGTGATAATATGAGCGAGCTGCAGACCTTTCCTCCTGGCAACCGCCACAAAGACAACCTCAACAACTATGTTTTCCAAGGGCAGCACCCACTTACACTGAATGAATCTAATCCTAACACCGTAGAAGTGGCTGTCGCAACTGAAGCCAAAGCGAACTCACGTCCGAGGCAACTGTGGAGGAAGTCAGTCGAATCATTGCGGCAAGAGTCTCTCCGCCAAGATTCTATCCGACAGGGCTCCCAGCGGGAAAACGTTTCTGAGGAAAACCGACAGCATTCCTTGACAGGCCCGAGGTACCTCCCCGAAGAGATCATCCGCTCAGATGTTTCAGACACCTCAAGCCGAGCCACTTGCCACATGGAACCCGAGAACAACAACAAGCACCACAAATCCAAGGACAACGTGAAGAAAAGACCCGTCTCGAAATATCCAAAGGATTGTAGTGAAGTAGAGTTGACATATCTGAAAAATAAATCTTTGCCCCGGGATAAAATTTACATTATAGATGCAGATAAGGAGCGAGGCTTTCATCTCGATACCCCTCAGTATATCGAGAATATTATCCTTCCAGAGACAATGGAGTTTTCTGAAGGATATCAGGATCACAACGACAACTATCGGAATGCTGAGCCAAGTAATAGAACTTCTTTGCCAAATGAAGAAAGTCTTCCAAACAATGATCAATACAAGCTGTATTCAAAGCACTACAGTGCAAAAGAAAAGAATGCTTCGTTTGGTGAGGCAAACGAGAGATACAGGCAGAATGCCACTCACTGCAGGAGTTGCCTTTCCACCCTGCCCACTTACACCGGGCACTATACCAGCCGGTCACCCTACAAGTGTGATGCCTGCGTGCGGATGGGGAACTTGTACGATATCGACGAGGACCAGATGCTGCAGGAAACGGCCAACTCCACACAACGGGAAGATCTGTATCGCCATGACTGGGTCCAGAATAACAACACTCAGCCTCCCAAGAAAAGCAAGCTGAAGATGAGCAGGCAACACTCGTACGACAACATCCTTGACAAGTGCAGGGAAATGGACCTCGGGAGGCCCGCTCGAAGCATCAGCCTGAAAGATAAAGAGAGGCTTCTCGAAGTCAACCCTTATGCAACCCTCTTTAACGTCCCCCAAAGCAAACTCTTGAGCAACAAGGCTCCGCTTTTCTCACGCACGCTGGACGACGGTAAGAGGGTCAAGTCCCTGTATTCTGACCACTCAGCCGAGAACCCTTTTCTGCACTCTTATTGCGATGACCAGCATTTAGGTCTTGGGCGGAGCCCCACGGACTCTTATAAACAATCCTTAAAATCGAGATACGATAGTTACTCGAGGTCATCACTAAGATCGACCGCCTCGTACTGTTCCAGAGACGGCCGGGTCCACAATGACATGTACATTTCAGAGCATGGGTTGCCTTATGTTGCCAATAAGAATAGTGTGTACTCAACTCCACGAGTTTTAAATTCCTGCAGCAATAGACGCGTGTATAAGAAGATGCCTAGCATTGAATCAGATGTTTAGCTTTTTCATTATCACCTTTATCTGTAGCGAAACATAGTTGCCAGCATCCTAGAGGGAAAAACAGTCATCTTTAGCAGTATACTGGGGACTGGGGGATTCTCAATGCCTTCCGTATATCACATTGGTACAGTGATACTCATTCAGTGGTTCAGGAGTCAAGCTGATTGTGGCTTTTCAGTTTGGCAATATGGTACCTGTCCCATTTCAGAAAAGTGGGCAAGGCTGTTGTCTGGGGGGGGGGGTTCGTGGTTGCCAGGTGGTTTTCACCTTGAAACAGCTGCTACTTGAGAAACAGGTAAGCTGTGGGCATCCCTGAGTGGCATGTAAATGTGTAAGGAAACAGGGTTATTTTGGTTGACGGTAACTGCAAAACTTGCTCTCCACAAGCCACAGAGTGTGTACCACTATTGTTATGTCCATCAGTTGTACCAAAAGGGGAGGAGAAGGAGAGAGATAAAAAAGGAAAGTTCACCACTCTACGGGCATATCTGTACTACAAACATATATTGGATTTAGCTGTCATGGCTTCCCTCCAAGCATCCTGGTAATCATTGCTGGGAGAAGATGTTGAAGGTCCCTTGTTCTTGAGTTGCCCCCCAGAATTGCAATTCTGAGGGTTGCCTAGAAAAGGGAGTGTTACCATTATGCCAGTGTAAGTCTGTTGTGTAGATAAACCCTTAGAGATGGATTCAAGGCATGGTGAAATCTGTTGGGCGAACCCAGAATCCTGTTGGCAACTATGTTAATTTTTCTACGTGGAGGGTTATTTTACCTTGTCCGTCGGACTGAATCCTTCTAGCACTTTCATCCAGCATATTTCTACCCTCCCCAAACGTTATTTTTAATAGAGAATAAGCAATATGGTATGCATGTAGTTTGACACGGAAACAAAAACAAAACGAGGAAAAAAACAAAAAAGAACAAAAAAAATCAAGCTAAGAATGCATTTGCACACTGACAAAAGGTAAGACTTGTAAAAGAGATTAGAGAGTTATACTTTTAATGGAAAAAACCTATATATCTATATCTGTATGATTTAGTTTCATCTTTGTTTCTAAACACGGTTAAAACAAAAAGCAAAAAAACAAAAAAACAAAAAACAAAACAAACCTCAGGGCCCATGAATGGAAACAATATCGTCTTCATCTGTGTCTGTCTTAACGGAGATCGAGGCTCTGGTCCCACTACAAACTCCTCTGGCACCAACCCCCCCTGTTGAAACGAACAGAAGTTGCATTAAGTATACTTAGCAAAGTTGGTAACTGAGGTCCCAGGTCCCTATAGCAGCTGTGAGCTGGGCCACATGGCCATCTCCTTGTCCCTCTACTCTGCTTGCAAGACATGCTAATCCCAGGGCAGGTCCTGCAGGCACCTCTACCCACAATAGGCATGGAACGAACTGGCATTCTTGAGAGCAGCAGTGGGGAAATACCAGTCTGGTGACCAGGCGAAGAGAAACTCCAGCCTGGCTTTGGCCAGTTTGGAGACGACTTCCTGCCAGTTCGTCAAAGGAGCTGAGGGTGGGGTGTTTGTTTTGGTTGCCTGGCAACCTGCAAGGCAGTGCTAAGATCTAAGCACACACATCCCCAGAGAGTTTGCCTGGCTAGAGAATAGCCGCTGAGGGGCCTGGGTGGTGACTGTCCTTGTGGAGATACCATTGGAAACTGAAGCACTTTACAGGGGATGTCAGGATTAAAGGTCCTGATCCCCTCCCCACCCCCAGCCAAGTCAGAGACATTGGCTGTTTTCTTTCCTCTTGAGATTGTTCCATGGATCTTGGACCACCCCCATTCTTTTTAACGATTCCCAGAACCCGTTTCACCTTCACCACTCTCCTTCTGCGGTCAGGTTGCCTTGTTTGATGACCTGCCCTACTCCTGTGCCAGAGAAATATAATAAGTGAAGCTTTCCTGGGATAAAGTGATAAGGAGAAAAGGCTTCCTGTGTTGAAGGAATAGAAGCACGACTGGGAGAATAAGTTGGGCTGTCCCGTTCTATGTTAAGAATCCCTCTATGTTGTTGGCTGGAAGCCAACTAGTGTAGCAAGCTGCTGCATCCAACTCTTTCCAGCTGTTGCGTGGCACGATTCAAAATGACCTTTCCTCTGTAATGTGTCCTGTGGCTCTGGCTCAGGAGGAGAAGTTTCTGGTGGATCGTGCTCTGTATGGTACAGACTATCATGAATGTCATTGAAGATAATGACAATATACTAGCACAGACCTTGGAAGGATAGCATGTGAGAGTGGAAGCTTAAGAGTCCCAAAAGGGGTTTTGCTGACTACGGGTGATGGATCCAGAGATTCCAAGCACAGATGAGCTGGTGTCTTTTTTTAAAAAAAAATGTTTACATGTGTGGGGGCACCCTCTGCACTCACACACATCCTGGGCTGCTGATGTGGGGACTTCCTACCCGGCCTGCTCCGTCATGTGCCCTATGGAAGTTATAGCTGCTGCATGAATTCCCTGTTCCCCCCGTCATGGAAGTGGTTTGTTGTTGTTTTTTTCAATCATGCCTGTGCTATCTTCTTAATGTCTAAATCCACCCAGGAGGTCATTCTGGGCAAAAGCAGTTTGGCGATGAAGACCAACACTATAGAAAATCAAGACCCATCTTACTGCGCCCAGTAAGTTTTTTGGCTACTGTTGGTGTCCAAATGCTTTCATTTATGTTTCACAGAATCAGTAATGGAATCTGTTTCTAGGAAACTCCACAGTCCAACTTCACATCTGGAAGATCTGCAGAGAAGGAAAGAATATATTTAAGTATCGATCTATGGAGCTTACACCTGTAAAGCTGTAGACCTCATAATCTAACTTGAAACCTAAATGTGTACATGAGTTTGTTTGTCTCCCTTGTTGGTGATGATAACTCAGGGCTGTATAGTATTCCTGTTTCTCTCCCCTTTCCCTCACATTGCTCCCCCCCAAAAAAAACAATCCCACCGCTGCCACCAAAATAACTGTCGCTCGTTGTTTACAACTCAGTAGAGGTTCTGTCCAATTAACTGTATGTTGATGTTAACTACAGTTGTTGATCTGTTACATGAACAGCCATGTATGTTGAATGGACTCCATCAGAAATGCAGTTACCATCTCAAGTGCAAGTTTTCTGGAAAGTCCGGCACCTCTTTTTAGTAACTCGGTTTTCTTCTAGAGTATCATGTATGTATGTTTGAACATGTTTGACTTCTCTCATCAAGCACATCTTAAATACTTAGTATATGCACATAATTAAGTAAATACGTAATTATGTTGTCATAGGACATGCTAAGGGGATGTATACTGTCTCTGAACATTCATGTCAAATGACCCTGATGCACTCCAAGCTTGGATTCTGGATTTTCTGGGTTATTACACACACGCACTCACATTCTGTGCTGTGTTACACAAAATGCACTGTGTGAAAATCCACCACTTTTAAAGCAAGGAGAGTGGAGAAACAAAAACCATGATTAAAATGTTCTGCTTTCCAGGGTTGTAGGGAGGAGAAGATTGAAAAAGCGGCAAATCGAATCCCTTCCCTTCTAAAAGAACACCAAGTTTGACCTCCCCTGTTTGAAGTGTGTGAAAGTCTTTTGTTATTTTTCTTTAAAAGTTAAAATGAAAATGCCATGTATACTCACAAGGAAGTCCTACTGAGTTCTGTATAGTTTAGGGGATTTAGCTATAGACCACCCAAAGAAGTGCACTCTTCAGATAGAAGGGGACATTGGATTTCTTTTACACCTCCCCCCAAGTGCTCATTGGGGATTTCCTAACTTTTCAACAGATTAATCCCAATGAAATCTGGACTACCCCCACATAAGCCCTTAGAGGATCACCTCTCACCCAGGGTCCTCCCCACCCTGGAAGTACTTAGTCACGTGTCCCAGCCCCCATGTGAAATGTATAGTACATTTGAAAATGCAATTTCTTTATGATTTGGGGTGGGGAATCTGCAGGATGAAATCAGAAGTCCCATGGGGCACATGGAAATTCTTGAGTACCGCCTAATGCATCTCCTTAAATCATGGTCCATGCATTTAAGCTGACTTTGCATCCATCAATTCCAAGAGGAATCACTGTGCGCCATATCATTGAGTGCTGTGGCTCAGTCCATGTGCTCTTTCCACCACTTCTGTCCTGGAAAAGCTCTTTCCAGTTTGAACTGGCAAGCCCACGAGCTTTTGGAGAGGGAAAGAACTGTTTCCAGCCATTGCTGGCACATCAGTCCATCTTCCTTGCCAGTTGCAGCTATCTTTTAGTAGAAGCCTCTCTTAGATTGCTCTGGCATTGGCTAGTCTTGCCTGACTAGGCAGAATCAGGAGCTGCTGGAGCAGATGTTGTCTCCCCCCGCCCAGCCCTGAATAAACATGTCGACTAGAGTTGATAAAAATGGTTTTTGGCAGCATTCCTCTTCTTAATGAATCAGGACCGAGGCTTCGTGATAAAGTTGTGTCTGTTATCAGCAACTCCACGTTATTCTTTGCCTGAGTGGTGGAAATAAAGAAATCGCACTATGTGACACTGTAGATTTTGGTACTGAGATTCTAAATACAAGCATTGAAAACATTTTTGAGTAGAATTCCTTAAGACACGTTTTTTTTTTTTTAATTTAAGGCTTAAGCTTTTCTTTTGTACTGAAAGGGCCAACCTAGTTTCCAGTGGGGTGTTTCGCATAGAGGTTTTGTGTTTTCTTACAAAATCCTTGAATCTGGACAGCTGAACCAGGGGGAAAAGACATAAATCGACACAGTGGTTTGGGACACCTGTTTCTGGATTACAGAAATAATTTATCCCAGAGAGCCAGCAGGGGCCATCGTTAGACTGTTTGACTAGCACCTGGGAGACCAACGTTCAAATCCCCACTCTGCCCTGGAAGCTCACTGGGTGACCTTGGGCCTGTCACTCTGTCTCTTAGCCCAACCTACCTCACAGGGTTGTTGTGAGGATAAAATGGAGGAGAGGAGAACGATGTAAGCTGCTTTGGGTCTCAATTAGGGAGAAAGGAATGAAGCTGA